GTGGCGGATTGTGGAGCTGGCCATGCAGGGCTGCAGCTGGTGGGCAAGGGGCAGAGGACAGACCCAGCGAGGTGGTAGATTGTGGACTGGGCAGTCTCACATTTGCACATAGATAAACCGGGAGAAACAGCTGAGGAGCTGGATGTTCATACAACCCAGGGCCCCAATACAGGGAACTAAACCTCAGACCACTGATTGAAAACACCTGTGGGGGTTGAGGCAGCAGGAGAAATTCCCTGCCTCACAGGAGAGTTCACTGGAGAGACCCACAGGGTCCTAGAATATACACAAGCCCACCCACTTGGGAATTAGCACCAGAAGGGCCCAGTTTGCTTGGGGAAAGCGGCAGAAGTGACTGAAATCCAGCAGAGAGTGGAGCAAGTGCCATTGTTCCCTCTTGGACCCCTTCCCCACATATAGCATCACAATGCAGTGACAACCCACCCTGGTGAACACTTAAGGCTCTGCCCCTCACTACGTAACAGGTGCGTCAAGATACAAAAAAATGGCCCAAACAAAAGAACAGATCAAAGCTCCAGAAAATAGGCAACTAGGCAATGAGATAGCCAACCTATCAGATGCACAGTTCAAAACACTGATGATCAGGATGCTCACAGAGTTGGTTGAATATGGTTGCAAATTAGATGAAAAAATGAAGGCTACACTAAGTGAAATAAAGGAAAATGTACAGGGAGCCAATAGTGATGGGAAGAAAACTGGGACTCAAATCAATGGAGTGGACCAGTAGGAAGAAAGCAACCACCAAACAAAAGAAGGAAGAAACAAGAATTCAGAAAAATGAGGAGAGGCTTAGGAACCTCCAGTACATCTTTAAATGTTCCAATATCCGAATTATAGGGGTACGAGAAGGGGAAGAGGAAGAGCAACAAGTGGAAAAGTCATTCGAACAAATAATAAAGGAGAACTTCGCCAATCTGGCAAAGGAAATAGATTTCCAGGAAGCTCAGAGAGTCCCAAAGAATGTGGACCCAGGGAGGAACACACCAAGGCACATCATACTTACATTACCCAAGATAAAAATGAAGGAGAGAATCCTAGAAGCAGCAAGAGATAAGGAGGCAGTCACCTACAAAGGAGTTCCCATCAGACTGTCAGTGGATTTCTCCAAAGAGACCTTACAGGCAAGAAGGGGTTGGAAAGAAGTATTCCAAGTCATGAAAGGCAAAGACCTACATCCAAGATTGCTCTATCCAGCAAAGCTATTATTTAGAATGGAAGGGCAGATAAAGTGCTTCTCAGGTAAGGTCAAATTCAAGGAGTTCATCATCACCAAGCCCTTATTATATGAAATGTTAAAGGGATTTATCTAAGAATAAGAAGATAAAAAACATGTCCAGTAAAATGACAACAAACACAATTATTAACAACCACACCTAAAACAAAAACAAACTAAGCAAACAACTAGAACAGGAACAGAACCACAGAAATGGAGATCACATGGAGGTAGCAACAGGGGAGTGGGGAGAGGGGAAAGGTACAGAGAATTAGTAGCATAGATGGCAGGCAGAAAACAGACAGGGGGAGGGCAAGAATAGTATGGGAAATGTAGAAGCTACTTACAAGTATGACCCATGGACATGAACTAAAGGGGGGGAATGTGGGTGGGAGAAGGTGTGCAGGGTGGAGGGGAGTGAAGGGAAAATGGGGCAATTGTAATAGCAAAATCAATAAAATATATTTAAATCAAAATAGTTAAGCTGAAACTTTTATACCAAGGTTTCTACATTCTTCATTTACTCAAAATTTTATTTTATTTAGAATTTTATGAATAGTATATTTAAATGTGATATATGCAAATTTGTGTAAAGGCGTGTCCAACCTTTTGGCATCTCTGCACTACACTGGAAGAAAAATTGTTTTGGGCCATACATTAAATACCTTGTGACACGTAATCACACCCAAAAAAGTTTTGTGTTGGGCCACATTTATAACCAGCCTGGGCTGTGTGGGGCCCTCAGGCCGCAGGTTGGACACCCCTGAAGCCTTCAAACTTGTATAGAGGGGCAGCTGTTGTGAAAAAATGCTGAAAGAGGAAAAACACTGTTTCGCCTCCAGTAAGCTTATAATTGAACAATGTTAAACTAACTTCCTTACTCTGAAAGACTTCTCAGCCCTGGCTGGTGTGGCTCATTGGGTTGAGCACTGGCCTGCGAACCAGAAGGTCGCCAATTTGATTCTTGGAGTACATGCCTGGGTTATGGGCCAGGTCCCTGGTTGGGCTTACAAGAGCCAACCGATCAACATTTCTCTCACACATGGATGTTTCTCTCCCTCTCTCCCTCCATTCCCCTCTCTCTAAAAAAGTAAATAAAATCTTGATGAGAAAAAGAAAAAGACTTCTTAGATCTTTAAGATTTGACCAGCATTAAGATTTAAGCTTATTTGACCACTAGTGCCCATGGAATAGTTTGGGAAACACTGGACTATATATTTTAAATCACATTATGTCATATATTTACAGTCGAGTAGTTTTAAGGTATCATTTGATTATCATTACCCTGATCGTTGTATTTTTTAACATTTCTCCTTCTGATGTATCTCCTTTTTTATTGCTCTTATGTATTTTTTTCCTCTTATGTATTTATTTGCCTAACTACTAAAAGTTAGGAGATTTTGAAGTTGTTTTGTTTCTCTGTGAGGTATGGGTTTGCAAAACTAATGGAAAACATTTGCAATTAATATATAAATAATACGTAAAGTCAAATGCAGTTAACATTTGCCTTTAAAATATAGTAAATTATGACTTTGTACTTGGTTTTATTAACTGAAAACATCTGCAAAACTTGCAGAGGAAAGTGATGTTTAGAGAATTACAACTATTAGGTATATTGAGGTATCTCTAATTGAATTTTGCTTTCTTCCATAGAATTTTAAAAACATAGGTGAAAGAATAACTAGCAAACTAAAATCATTTAAAATCGTGCCACTCAGAGATAATCATCAGCATCTAACTTTTTGATAAAAGTAATACTTATACATGGGGGGGGAAACCCCAAACTTTATTGAAAAGCATAAAATGAAAGCCTCCCTATTCACCACTAAGCCAGCCTTCCCTACACCAAATCAATCCTTAGGGCTTTTCTCTTACCAAGTCACCGCAGTACTAGTTTCCCAGATGCCCATTGTTATTTGTTTGAGTATCCTTTGTATATTCATGGCAACATAAAATTTATACCTATCTTATAGTTTGGTTTTTTGCTTTGAGGTATTTCAGGTTGAGTGTTTGAAGGCCACATAATGTTCTACAGTAAATGCTGTTAACATTTTATTGTAGTCCTTCTATCTATGTCAATAACACAAGGTTATGAGGGACAGGATGGGCCTTGCTGTGAACACCTGAAAATTCGGAACTAGAATATTTTAGTATTTAATGTGTAGTTTATGTGGTGATTGAAATCCAGATTTATAATCTGACTTAAAAGTCTTCCAGGTAGTCTGATAAAAGTTTTTTAGATTTACAAACTTATATTAACTCCTATTAGAATATGAAAATTAAATCATGTTTTGATAAAATTTTCATTGTAAATGATCAGACAAAAGCCATGCTCTAGTATGATTTTTATTTTCCATCCTAGCAACACAGGTCTAGAGAAGTAAGCAAGCCAGATAGAGAAAGCTGCTCTTAATGTGTATGGACTATAAGAGCTGTTTTTCTGCTCCTACATAATGTCAGTATGGGAATGTTAGTATTTTCTTGAACTATACTTTTCTTTTATATTATAATATATTTAACCAGAATTAAGAGAGAACAGGAACTAGTATAAAGGACACATGGAAAACAACTAAGGGGGGTGGAAATGGGAGGGAGCTGGGGAGCATGGGGGGTGGGCTGAGATGGGAGTAAAAGACAGAAAACTGTACTTGAAAAATAATTAAGTAAAAAAATTGTTAAATTAAATTAAAAAAAGAGAGAACTATTATGGTTAATTGAATTTTGGTTATACGAGGAGTAATCAGTAAGTACCACTTTGTATTGTTTTATTCTTTATTGTTGAAAATCTTTGTGATCCATATCAATACCTTTTTTTGCATTGGTAAATAAATACTTGTTTGTTTCTACCACTTGTCCGTGAAAGAACCATGTCTAAACTATCCCAGCTCCTTATACCAGGAAGGTTGTGCATAAAATTATGTGTACCATAAATACTTGTTAAACGATGTTGTTGAAAATAATCGAATCTTTCTTTTTTTTTCCCCAGTGGGTTTTTTTTATTTAATTGTTATTCAAGTACAGTTTTCTGTCTTTTATTCCCATCCCAGCCCTCCCCCCCATAATCTAATCGTTCTCTGTTTTGGATTTGGCATGCAAAATACTGATTTTTTTGTTCCAGTAGGCAGAGCTTTTATATTAGATTGTTTCAAGTACATGTATAAAAGTTTGGAAAACATATATCAAATAAATAAATAAATAAATAAATAAATAAATAAATAAATAAATAAGCAAGACAGTCCTAACTGGGTGGCTTAGTTGGTTGGAGCATCATCCTGAACACCAAAACGTTTTGGGTTTGATTCCCGGTCTTTTTTCCAGATTGCAGGTTCAGTCTCCAGTGCATATGGGAGACTGGGAGTCAGCCGATCTCTCTCTCTCTCTCTCTTTTACTCTCACTCTCTTTTTCAAATCAATAAACATACCCTTGGGTGAAGATTAAAAAAAAACAAGATAGAAATGTTAGTACATAATAATTTTAAATGTTGTTTTTTATATTGTAATACAATTATAATGGGATATGTTTTTAATTAAAAATTTAAGAATTGCATGTTTTGATAGATTGCTCTTGCTTAAGGAAGGTGTAGGATTTAAGGGCAAGATAATCGTATATCAGTGACTAAAATATTTTTCTTCTCTTCTCCCCTACTCCCCATCTAGTACATACACTTTTTTATTTTAAGTGTTTTGTATTTACATAGTTTCTTTATTTCTTGTGGTCTGTTTCCTAGAGGGAGTTAATTCTGTAAAACATTTTTCATTTATTTAGATTGGCCAAAGAAAAAATGATGTATGAAAAAGAAGCAAAACAACAAGAAGAAAAGATTGAAAAAATGAAAGCTGAAGATGGTGAAAATTATGCCATTAAAAAGCAGGTAAAATTTTATCTTAAAATAGCTAACATGTACAGAATACCATATTAACTAATTTATTAACAGCTCTCTGAGAAGGTCCAGTTATTCCTTTACTATTAAAAACCTCCATTTAAAAATGAGGAAACTGAAACACAGGTTAAATAACTTGCCCAAGGTCATACAACTACTAAGTAGCATGTTGAACATAGGCATTCTGGCTGTGGAATTTGTACTCTAACATTAAGCTATGCTGCCTTTCCGCTTTTAGGTATTAAATATAAAAATGACTTAATTTTACATTACACCCCAAACTGATGTGAAGACCACCAAAATAAAATATATTCTATACTTTTCAGTAGCTACTTCTGATTATCTTAATAACAAAGTTTAGTGTCTGTAGCATTGCGTACAGGGTTTTTCTTGATTTTGAGACCTGTTTATCTTTCCACCTTCATCTCTTGCTAGTCCCTACCTAGACTTCTTAGTTTCTGCCTTTCGGTTTCCTGAACATACCCTTTGTCATTTGCCTTTGAGATGTTTGCTCAAGTCTGGAGTGCTCTTCCTACTCCTCTGTCTGCCCTCTTCTTATTAATTCCTATTCATCCTTTAAAAACGTCCCCTACACTCTGTGTTAGTCCTAAGTTAGGCACTTCTCTGTGCTCCCATAACACCTTATTTACTCCTATCATAGCATTTACTGAATATCCATTCTCGTCTGACACTTGTTTCATAATTCCTTCAAAGAAAAGAGGCTATCAACGGTACTTCCTCACATTCCCACCACAAAATTTATCATCCTCCCTACATCTGTACCCATACCACCTTCCTTCATGTTAGAGTAGATTATGTGCCCTAGCCTTGTTACAACCACTAATGACATTGTCATCACTTCCTTCCCCTCATCTTATATAACTGCAGTAGCATTTGACAGAAGTAACCACTGTCCTCGAAACACTCTTTTATGTTGACATCTGGCTTTCCTTCTATTACTCTGCCATTGTTCCTCAGTTGCCTTTACTGAAACTCTCCCATTCCCCTCTCTCCTTACTCCGCACCTATCTACCTACACTCCCCACATACACACATACACACATATTTTTTTAAATCTTTAAAAGTTCTAAAATCCCTGCCATAGCTAGTATGGCTCAGTGGATTGAGTGCCAGCCTGTGCACCAGAGGGCCATTGGTTCCATTCACAGTCAGGGCATATGCCCGGGTTGCAGGCCGGGTCCCCAGTAGGGGACACATGAGAGGCAACCACACATCAATGTTTCTCTCCCTCTCTCTCCCCCTCCCTTTCCCTCTCTCTAAAAATAAATAAAATCTTTGTAAAGAAAGTTCTAAGATCCCTCTCTGGGTAATCTTTTAGTCTCCTTTAACTTTAAGTGCCATTTTAATGCCCATTTATTTATTCATTCAACAGATATTTATTGACAAATACAGTTTCAGGTACTCTTTTAGTCATGGAATTAAAACCACTAACAGAACAAACAAAACTACTTCAATTCATGCTTATTTCGCATTCATTTCAGCGCCAGTATCTCCCAAATTTATCTCTGTGACTGACCACTTCAGATACATACTTAGCTAATCACCTGCTTCACATATCCTCGTGGGTGTCCAAAATAAAAAAGTTTGTTCTTCCCTCAACTCAACCCACTCCTCCCAAATAAAAAGCTGTTCCTTCTCTTATTTTCCTCCTCTCAGTATACAGTTATTTCCACCCATCCCAATACCCGAGCCAAAAATTGAGTGGGTCCCTTCTTGATACTTCTCTCTCTTTCTAATAACCACATATAATAACACAAAGTCCTATTCCTTATTCCCTCTATTTCTTTCTCTACTGCCATTATTTTAGTCCAGTTCACTATCATCTCTTGCCTGTACTATTGCAAAAGCCTCCTAGTTGGCATATCTTTTGTCTCTTGACACCTTCCATTCCTTTCTTACCACAACACCTAGGTTGATCTCTTCAAAATGTACATTGGATCGCATCTCCTTTAAAGTCCAATGCCCAGTGCATTTACAATAAAATCTAGATGATGCTAGGAAAAAGGAGAGTATAAACAAGCTATGTAGATTAATCTCAAGACTTAGTTTTTAGAATAAGCTTTATGAACTCTCAGTGGTTTTCACCATGTAAATTATGTTACAAATGGTAATAGTGCACACTTAATCCAGACTTAATTTTGCAAAATTTACCACTTAAAGTGGGTTTTTCTGCAGGTTTTCTATAAGTGGGTTCCCCCCCCCCACTTTTCCTACCCATAGCCATTGCCCCCACTTCCCTCTAGCCATCACTGTGCTGTTGTCTGTGTCTACGGGATATGCATATATATTCTTCAGCTAGTCCCTTCACCCTCTTTCATCCAATTTCCCCCACCCCCTCACTCTGACAGCTGTCAGTCTGTCCCATGTATCTGTGCCTCTTTTTCTAATTTTGGTTCTTTTCAAAATAAGTAAGATGTTTTAGGACCCCAGAAGGCAAAAATATCAGTCAGAGTTGTTGCTATTCTTTTCTGGCTAAGCAATATTGCACAACATCCAAATATTGCACAAATTGATTTTTATTTTATTTTGTTTTTTATTATATTTTATTGCTATCACCCAAGGTAGGTACTCAGGGTGTGCCCTTCATGTGGTCTGAGTACACCCTCCTCTTTTAGTTGAGCCTTGGTTGTTATTGGCAGATCAATGGGAGGGATTTACCCAGGCCAGTCAGCTACAAGGACTGGCTGTGACCACTGACCACCAACCTCTACCCTCTGTGGAGAATCAGCTATGGAAGGGTGGTTCTTCCATAGTGCTCTGATGTGGTCTGTAGCTGTCCAGTGGATGCGCTGGCCCTGGGGTTTCCCCCAGTGGTACAGTGATGCAGGTCAAGTTTAGCCCCCTCTTGTGTTTTGCCTGGAGCCTCTCTTCCTGAGCTATAAAGCAATCTGAGAAAGCTGGTACTTCTCCAAGAGATGGCTTGGACATTTCTAGGCCAACTCAAACTGTGAATCTAATCTGGCTGCTGCTATTCCCTGGCCTGGGGCTCACTGAAGCCAGCTGTTGCTTTTTGGAAAGGATTTAGGAAGTTGTGAAGCCTGAATCAAGACCAGCCATTCATATGGAAAAGCAGCTTGGGTGGGCCCATAAGTTGGGTGGGGCAGAGTCTCTGGGAATCTCCTAGGTGGGTCTAACAGTGTTAGATGGGTTGATGGAGTCTCAGACATGGCACTAACTTACCAACTCTGTAGGAAAGGTTTAGCAGAGGGACAGTGGCTTCTGCTCACCTTGATACCAGACACTTTAGTTCCTCCCTGTATGCCCCTGATTCCCTTCACGCTGCTACTCCCGTGCTGGAGCTCAGAGGGAGTGAGTCTGAGTAGGTGAGTCTCTGTGTGGGTTCTTTAAGAGGAACTGATACGGGCTTCAGAAGTTTCTTCCACTGACTCAGTCCCAACTGGTTTTTGCTGCCAGAAGTTATAGGGACTTATCTTCTTGGTACTGGAACCCTGGGCTGGGGAGCCTGGTGTAGGTCTGGGACTCCTCACTCCCAAGATATTCCTCATGATTTTTATCCACCATACTTGGATGGGAGACCATTGAACTGTTGTGAAATTTGTCTTTCTGAGAAAGATGCACACACATTTTTGTGTGATTTACTTGAAACATGAGTTAATGTTCAGTTTGATTTGTTCAGCCTGTTCTGCATTGAGCCCCTCCTACCAGTCTTGATGGGTGCGGTTTCTTTAATTCTATAGTTGTTAGACTTCCATTCAACTTGATTTGTGGTGGTTCTGAGTGATGGTCATTCTGTATTTTAGTTGTAGTTTTCACATGGTTGTGTGAAGAAGCAAACCATGCCTGCCTGTGCCACCATCTTGACTAGAAGCCTGCCCAAAATTGATTTTAGCTCTCTACTTATGATTTACTTGTTCAATCTCCTCATCCCTCATTTAGGTATGGATATAGACAATTTTGTCTTCATCCAGGAAAGATATTCTGGTCTCTTTTTTTTTTTAACCTACCCAGGAGCAGAAATTCAGGGCCCAGTGCGGGCCATAGGAGAGGCAACCACATATTGATATTTCTCTTCCTGTTTCTCCACCCTTCCCCTCTCTACAAATTAATTAATTAATTGGTTAGTTAATTTAAAGAAAGACTAACTTGGTGGGCACCATTTTCCCACCAAGATTTCTCGAAAAAATTTTGCAGTTATTACATACAATTGAAGTGTTGTGAAATTTGTCTTTTTGAGAAAGATGCACACACATTTTTGTGTGATTTACTTGAAACATGAGTTAATGTTCAGTTTGATTTGTTTTCCTATAAATGAAGGGGAAACTTTTTTTATTAAATAAATGGAAAATAATAGGAGGTTTTAGTCTACAAAGAGGAGTTTGCCTTAGGGTCTCTTAGAAGGCTGATCCTGTAATACCAGATATAATAAAAATACTATGTAAAGTACTTTCAGTGGTACAAGAAAGTGTTATTGTCTCTTGGTGTGTAAACTCAGGTATATGAATGGTATTTCATTTGTATATTTACTTTTTTGTTTTTTTGTTATAAATTCATGGAAGTTACAAAAAGTGTTTAGGGATGTCTCATACACCCTTCGCTATTCCTCCCACAATGTTAGCATTTTGCTTAATTATATTACAATATCCAAATCATAAAACTGGCATTGGTACACCATAGAGCTTATTTACATTTCACTAGTTGTAATCATGTGTGTGGTTCTTTCTGTACAGCTCTATCACATGTATAGCATGTGTAACTACCACCACAGTTAAGATGGAGAACGATTCCATCACAAGACTACCTTATGCTGCGTCTTTATTTCTTCCCTCCCCTAAATCCTAAATAATTAACCAAGAATGTAATGTAACATGGAATGGAATAAACACAGTATATAACCTTTTGCAATTGGCTTTTTCCACTCAGCTTAATTCTTTTGAGGTCCATCAGAGTCATAGAATGTATCAATAGTCTGTTCCTTATGCTTGCTGAGTAGTATTCCATGATATGGGTGT